AACGGCCGAAACGTTGTGAATATGGCAATGAAGATGAGGATAACAGTCCAAACAATGTAAATAATGCAAGTAATCATAATACCTCATCTCAGAGATATAGACAAATGATTACCATGCGAAACAAAATAGAGACATTTGATATACAATGAGATGGAAGGCCATTTTGCTTTAAACAATATTGCAAAAAATGATAGTGAAACTGATGTACCCTTGTTCAAAACAGATAAATACCCCTGTGCTGTGAAAATACTGTCAGAATTTGAGAAAGACTTTATAGGCATTTTAAATTAGATAAGGTTTAAAAGAAAAGAATGTATTTCAGAAAAAAATTATCAACGGATATTAGGGAGCTCAGAAAAGTGAAGAAAATTTTTGTTATGGCGACAAAACGAAGAAATTATATGCCGTGATCCTGAGAACGCACAGAAAGAGAGTTCAAGATAAAGTAACTAAATTCTTTTAAAAGCTGTTTCTTCTTACATAGAGAATATTAACATAGAAGCCAAATAAATCTCCATAACGTTTGGAATTAGTCATGATATTGGCCGAAAACAAGCCTTGTTGACAGTAAAAGACCATAAAAAAAGCTTTGTCAACAGCCCCTCATTCCGTTTAATAAAACCGACAACGATTAAGCTCGGTATTATAGGCCATAAAATTATAATGGATACCTGCAAGCTACTCAGGCTGGCTAAGCAAATCAACCAGTGGAAGATCAATTCAGACTGCATAAGCTGGATTAATAACATTCCGAACAAGAGTAATGTGTTTACCAAATATGACATCAAGGATTTCTATCCACATCTATAAGAGAAAAAAAATTACAAGAGGCTTTGATGTCATCGTATGTTTAAAGCCCGAACAGATTAAAGATTATTCTACATTGCCGTAAATCAGTTTTATTTCATGGTGCTGAAGCATGTGTTAAGAAATCCATTGCTGGTAACTTTCGACGAAGCAGAGGTGTGTGAAATGACGAGAATATGCATTCTAAGCAAAATAAATAAAAGTGCCCACATAGAAGACAATGGAATTTACAGGGATGATGGACTGGTGGTAGTACCGGATAATAAAAGAAACAAGGATTCCATCAGGGAAAAAATTTACAGAAGATCTTTAAAGATCTGGATTTCGACATCACAGTGGGGGTCAACAGGAAAGTAGCCCAGTTTTTTAGACATAGAACTAAACGTGTTGACTGAAAACCATTTCACATTTTATGAAACTTAATACGGCTTTTAGATACGTAAATACGGCATCCAAGCACCCGCCAAGTGTTATTAAACATATCCCGTTAGGCAGATTATAGAGAAATTATTCTAAAGAAATATCCAATGAAAAAAATATGTATCTGCTTTAAGAGATGACGGGCATAACATCAACCTGAGTTCCAAGGAATAAGCAGACCGAAGAACAGATGACAATAGCGAAAGAAAAGGAATGTTATCTGGTTCAACCCACCTTTTAACATGCAGGTAAGAACAAATATAAGGAAAATATCTTTTAGCCTTCTAAATAAGCACTTCCCATAAACGTCCGGGATGTACAAATTATTCAACCTTAATAGAGTCAAGTTGAGGTACAGTTGCAGTAGCAACATAGGCAATATTATTAAAAGATTGAACGAAAGAAATTTAAATCTTGAAAAGGACGTGAGAGGCAGAAATAAAGTCCGTTGCAATTGTAGAAGAAAAAATATTTGTCCCTTAAATGCGGTATGTTTCACAGAACATGTAGTGTATTGTGCCGAGGTAGAAAATGATAATGGTAGTGCAAAAATATATTGGTTGCACTGAGGGTCAATTTAAAAAGAGGTGGTATAATCATAACTCGTCATTTAGAAAGCCCGATCGTAAGTTCAATATGAAGCTAGCAAACTATTATTGGATCTTTAGCGAAAAAAATGAAAGAATCCCTGTAGTTAAGTGGAGTATTTTACGAAAGGTAAAGGCTGAATGTAGGTTGTGTCAGGAGAAGTTGGCTTTTGCAACACTGAGCTGTTGAATTAGAGGTTCAAAACTATGGCCAAATATAGGCACACAAGGAGGTTGACGGTGGGTTTGTATGAGCCCGGATGATGGTGGAGAAATAATTTATTTTCTACTCTAACCCATCATTATTTCTATTTCCACTTACGCTGCCACATTTATAAATTTAATTAATTAGTTCCCTGGTTTAACCACCTGATGAGACCTTTGTGGTCGAAACCTCGGTAATGTTCCATTCAGTGTTTCAATCTATTTAAGATATTAAATCGCGAAACAGGCTTCATTTTCTTACTTGAAATTGAGCGCTTTTTAACGCATACGACATTAAAACTACTATTTTATTGATTCTTTATTTCAGCGTATATATATATATATATATATATATATATATATATATATATATATATATATATATGTGTGAAAAGTGTATATAAATATAAATAAATATATATATGTATAATTGTTTATATATTATATGCGCGGTACTTATTAGAAAGCGCTCAATATCTAGATAGAGCTAACATATTTGGTTGGATAGATGTGAGTTTGTGACTCTGGGTTTCACGCTTTAGCGATCGTCAGACAAACTTATATATAGTGGTCAATATATATATATATATATATATATATATATATATATATATATATATATATATTTATATATATATATATATAAACTCTCAAAATTTAATACATTATTTAAACTAGAACAGTCTACCCCAGTAAGCGAAATAAAGGGTTCAGTTCGAAATTCCAACCACCTGAAGAAGGCGGGAGCGTACAACGGCCGAAACGTTGTGATAAATATGGCGACAAAGATGAGGACAATAGTCCGAATAATGTAAATAATGTACATAATACCTCATCTCAGAAATATAGACAGACTGTAAAATTTAATGCCCAAGACAGAGTAAGAATATAATATAAAAGGCTCAAACACTAATATTCCATGGTTATAATTTATTACATTGGAATCGTAATCACGATCCAAATCATGATTACGATTCCAATGTAATAAATTATAACCATGGAATATTAGTGTTTGAGGCTTTTACAATTTTTTATGAGACATTTTTCCCCAAAACTAAAGTCGAGTACAAGCGTTTTCTTTGATTGGTCGAATATTTCACATATTGATGTTAATTTCTAACCAATAGACACTTTGATTTAAAGAAAGTGTGTGCGAAATCTTTTTGGCATGTTTGTAATATCGTGTGTTATTGGATAGAAAATAAAGTTTGCGTGATTTTTAATGTGGCATGTATGTGGGATTGTAATTGTTTGAAATAGCATTTTTTTCTATAATACATATGTGTTTGTGGAGAGGACGAAAAACACCATGTTTACTCATACTTTCTTCAAAAGGAAATTCTTTATTTTCGTTGTGTTCTTAGGGTGGGGAATCATCAATTAATCTTAAAGAATTCTAATTTCTAATCTCCTTACTCGTGATTTTCTGCAATAAATGTCTTCATTATTCTGTGTTATTGCTATTATTGATTAGTTCTTTTGATTTCTTATTTGATAAAAACATTTACCAAGTTTTTCACTCGAGACCTAAGGTCAATTAACTTCTTTTATTAAGATATTATTGAGCATGTTCAATTGAAAGCCTTTTTTATGTATGTTGAGAAGTTCTCAATAGCACGACTTCTTGTATTTCAACTAAGTCCAGTTCAAAATCGGAGAAGGGCGAAGGCGGACAACTGGCGCTTCATGATCAGCTGCGTCGGGTAACTGGTTCTCGTTAGCTCCATTTAGAGGATGGAAAACCTCGAGTTTAAGCATCCGCTACCTTGCGGTCATATCTAAACATGGAAAAGTCAATGGGAGTAAACCCAGACTGTAGCCCCAAAGAAGGTTAGCTGACAATTTCCGACAACTATTTCAGCCAAGCCATGCCAGACCAAAATGTAATGTTTAATATTGATTTGGTTATTGTCGGTACGACATGGAAGGGGGCCATATGACTTTGACAGCGCACGGCCTACGTAGACCACCATACAATACTGTGCCCTGGAGAGACCGCTGAAATTTCAGTAGCAAAACATATATTTGAAAATGTTAGAGAAACCCCGATAATAGAATAGAATTCACTCGAGCGTGGCATCTCAAGCCAATGCGATTACATGTTGTTATTGGGGGTTTGGAAATTATATAAAAAAGATCAGACAAATATGTGGATCAAATTCCTGGTAAACTTAAAATGAATCTGCATCTGGAGGTTAGGAATTCAACACCAGATGAACCCACTGATGCGTTTTGCTTCTCTGATGCTCTAGTGTAGAACTGACTGCAAATTCTATTTTGCTACCATCTTGGGGCTAGAGATAGCAAAACTTGGTAGATTTGCCTCGATTTCCCGAAACGTTTGAAAGTTGGAATTCCAGAGTATAGTAACCTCTAAATTTTGTGGTGGCAGCAATTCACTTTTTGAGGGGGTCTGAATGCGAAACATATCAAGCAATATAGGTACAGATCAGCCTTATATCATTAAGATTAAAAGAAATTAAAATAATTAAAACCAAACATAAAATTGTTAATGATGTTTTATAATTTTAAATTGTTTAATAATATTTGAACTTTATATTTTTGAGTTATCCGTTAAAATGAAATTATTTTATAATTCGGTCGAGCAACCTTAAATTTTCATAATTCTACCACGCCAACTTCCATCACGACACTGCATCAACTTCGGAAAATCATTAGTGTGACATTCTGTGCTATAACATAACTGGTCAATGTAGGTAGTTGCTGGGCTACCAGCCTATCGTGTGCAATGGCTGGATGTCAAAAACAAAGGATCACTGGCATGTTTTGTTTTGCTCTCCAGTAACGTCCTGAAAAGCGCAAATTGCGTTCGCGGGTTCAAGTCACGCAAAAATAAAATAAAACCGTTGAATTGACTAAAAGCTGGTACATTTTTTTTTTTACATTTCTATCAGAAGATATTTGTAATTGTTCAACTTCTTCAATTCTATGAAAGAAATTTTACGATAGCATCGTGTACTCATGACGATCAGCAGGAAAAGAATGTCTATTTTGGTGATTTTTAATAATTATATCTTGTCTCTATTTCTCAAATAAGGTATTGTAACTATTTACACTATTTACATTGTTTGGACTGTTGTCCTCATCTTTATTGCCATATTCACCTTCAACATCTGTCTCTATATCTCAGATGAGGTATTGTAACTATTTACACTATTTACATTGTTTGGACTATTGTCCTCATCTTTATTGCCATATTCACCTTCAACATCTCTCTCTATTTCTCAGATGAGGTATTGTAACTTTTTACACTATTTAAATTGTTTGGACTGTTGTCCTCATCTTTACTGCCATATTCACCTTCAACATCTGTCTCTATTTCTCAGATGAGGTACTGTAACTATTTACATTTTACTGGCTGTTTTCCGCATCTTTTTTACCATATTCACGACATTTCGGCTGCTGTAAGTCCCGACCTTCTTCAGGATCTGTCTAAATTTCAGAGATGTGGTATTGTAAGTATTTTCAATATTTGCATTTTTATGACTGTTGTCCTGATCCTTATTAACATATTCACGACGTTTTGACTGTTGTATGCCCCGGTCTTCATGTGATTTTTTATTTATTTATTTATTTTTTTTTTTTTTGATTTCCAACCGATTCTTTTATTTAGTCCATGGGAATAGAATGTTCTAGTTCCACGTGCCGTATGTCTTTCGTATATCTCAGTTTTTTTTTTGGGGGGTGGGGGTTGTAAGTTAATTCCCTTTGATAACTCAACTCTCCACGTTTTTGTTCTGTTTTATTCTGTTTGTTTTCATTGTTCGATCTTTGTTTTACAGGAATGTCCCATCGTAAATAGTTACTTTTTCCCCCTCAGTGAAAGCTTCAGGACGATGTTTGTCGCACTTGTCTTCAGTTTTAATTTAGTATTGCCCGCAGATTATTCAATATAAGTACTGACCCATTTTGTTTCATAAAGTTTTATTATATTCTTCCGTGGCCAACGCCTTACATCCTGTCATTAATTGATTTATTGTTTCAAGAAACTAATTGCAAAACCAACGTAGCGAACAAGTTCGGTTTTTGATTGCATTAATTTGGTAGTTACGGCTAAATAAGTTCTGGTTTTGTGCAGCTAGAATGAAGATTTTGATTTACATCAGTTTGATCGCCATGGAGGACATATTGATTTGTGCTCTCGTTTCGTATTAAGATTCTTTTTTTTCCTTCGGATTTTGCTTTATTCTCTCTCTCTCTCTCTCTCTCTCTCTCTCTCTCTCTCTCTCTGTGTGTGTGTGTGTGTGTGTGTGTGTGTGTGTGTGTGTGACTGACTTATTTCAGTTTTTCATCTTTTCTCATTGGTATGTTTAGCTCATTTTCATATTTCTGGCTTTATTTCATTATTGACTATACCCTCTTTTTCTTTTCAGAGGGAGTTACCGTTCTTCTTCTTATTATTATTATTATTCTTTTTCTTCTTCTTCTCGTCCTCCTCTTCCTCGTCCTTCTTCTTCTTCTCTTGTTCCTCCTCCTCCTCCTCTTTCTTCTATTTCTTCTTCTTCTCGACTTTCTTCTTCTTCTTCTCGCCATTCTTCTTCTTCTCGCCCTTCTTCTTCTTCTCGCCCTTCTTCTTCTTCTTCTCGCTCTTCTTCCTCTTCGTCGTCTTCTCGCCTTTCTCACCTTTCTTCTTCTCGCCCTCCTCCTCCTCCTCCTCCTCCTTCTTCTTCTTCTTCTTCATTAGTTTATTATAACTTTTTCTTTTTATGTTAGTTCCTTTGATTTTTGTTGTATACACATTTCCTTCCGGGTCCCAACCAAAGACCTAAGGTCACAAATGGCAGCATGACATTTTCCATTCGGCATTTTTGGAGAAAAAAAACCCCAGAAAACTAAGATCCCGCATAAGATAAAGCACTTCGTAATGTGTGAGCCGTACTATGAGTGCAACTTTTGTACTATTATTATTATTGTCATCATCATCATCATTCGATTTCTGCTATGGACACACTACCTACCAAGTCTGCGGAAAGACCTAAGGCAGGTCGTGGTGTGTTGTTATAGCCACATTTCATGTTAATTTTTTTTTTTTTTTTTTTTCCGATGAAGTTGCTAGCGTTACATAGACAAAGTTCTCCTTAGTGTGTGTGCTGTACTTAATAAGACAATTTTCTGTATGTCTCTTAAGCTGGGGTTTCAGGGATTCTTTCAATGTGTTGTTTTGTTCCATTTTTTATAATTCCAAGTGCACCTATTACCACTGGTATTATTCTTGTTTTCAATTTCCACATTTTTCTATTTCAATTTCCAGGTCTTTGTATTTTGATAGTTTTTCAAATTCCTTGGTTGCTATGTTACAATCCGCTGGACAAGCCATATCAATTAGTAGGCAAGTTTTTTCTTTCTGGTTTTTTTGACAATAATGTCCGGCCTATTTGCTTCAATTTTTCTGTCTGTGTGGATGGTATAATCCCATAGAATGGTGACATCTTCTATTTCTGTAACCGGCGCTGGCCGATGTTCATACCAGTGTTTGCTTACACATTTTCCAAAGTGTTTGCACATTGTCCAGTGTAAGTATTGCCCCATTTTATTTTATATTCATTTGGGGCAAGTATAGAACATCCTGAGATTAGATGGTCTATTGTTTCTTGGTATTTGTCACAGAACCTGCATTTTGGATCCACATTATTATGTATGATATTTGCCTGAAAATTCCTAGTGAAAAGACTCTGGTCTTGCGCTGCAAGAATAAAGCCTTCAGTTTCAGACTTTAATCCAGATGCTCGTAACCATCGATGAGTATTAACTTTATCAACATTGGGTTTATTTGCACGTTCTGGATATTGGCCATGCAGAGGTTTATCTTGCCAGCGTTGTTTCATCAGTTCAAGGGCTTTATCCTTGGCTTTCTTTTTCATATCTTTTGCTGCAATAGTTGGTTCTTGGCTTCTGTTTTGATTTACTACAGAATCTACTAAATGTAAATGTTGTTTGTATTTACTGCCTTCTTTTATTATTGAATATTTTTTCTTTCTGTTTTCATGTTGTTTCACTAATTTTATCATCCAGTCATTTGTTGTTTCCATGTAAGTTAGTAAGCCAATAGTTTATTATTATTATTATTATTATTATTATTATTATTATTATTATTATTTCCTTTAATTTCTGTTTCGTACACATTTACTTCCGGGTCACAAAATGAGACCCAAGATCAGAAATAGTTTCATGACATTTCCTCTGATCATTTAAAAAAAACATAAATAAATAAACCCAGAACCTAAGTTCACACCCATTTTACATAAATAAAGCTCTTTATAATGTATGAGCTGTAATTGTGAGTACAATTTTTTTGTATTTCTTTAAGGCTTAGGCTACCAGGGATCCCTTCAATGAGCCGAGCGGAACATTTTCCAATCAATCCGAGGGATCCAACTACAACAAGTATTATTGAAGTTGTCATGTGTCACATTTCCTCTTCAAGATGCTTGTATTTTGATAGTTTTGTGAAGGTCTTCAAAGATACATTACAATCTGCAAGAACTGTCATGCCAATAAGAAATCATATTCTAACTCTAATCATAATGTCTGCTCGATTAGATTTGATTGTTCTGTCTGTGTTTATTGTAAAATCCTATAAAATTGTTACAGGTCCTGTCTCTGTAATCTGGTCCGGGTGATGTTCATACCACTTTCTTGCAGTTAGCTTCCCGTTGAAGTTGCATATTTACCAGTGCAGATATTGGCCCATTCTATCATGCTGAGTTTTATTTTCAGTGAGTGCTAACACTACTCAGCCTGATACATGAAGGTCAATTGTTTCTGGATATTTATCGCAGAAATTGCATTTCGGGTTTTCAGTAGGTATGTTTGGTAATTTCTAGTGAGCAAGCATTGATCCTTATTATTATTATTATTATTATTTTCTTTGATTTCTGGCATTTACACATTTCTTTCCGCACAGGGACCTAAGATTAGAAATGGCATCATGGCACTTTCCACTGACAAAAAAAAATATTACATAGATAAAGTCCTTCGTAAAGTGTGGGCCGTACATGTCAGAACAATTTTTTGTATCTCCTTGAGGCATGGACTTCCAGGAATCCCTTCAATTATTCTACTGCAATCTTTTTCCAACCTGTCCTAGGGCTCCAACTACAACAGGGATTGTTGATGTTCCCATGTGCCACATTTTCGAGATTTCTATTTCAATGTCCTTGTATTTTGACAGCTTTTTGAATATCTTCAAATATACATTGCAGTCAGCAGGGACTGCCATATGAATAAGGAGGCACCGTTTTTGTTTGTGGTCTTTAATAAAAATTTATTATTATTATTATTATTATTATTATTATTTGCAGCCACGTTGTTATAGAAGCTGTAGTGGCACTTATTTATCTCTTTTGTTCTCTCTCCACGGGCTGAATTCCGATGGAAATCCCCGGGGACCAAACATCAATGAAAGTCTTTTCAAACCTGTTGCACTCTTCTTAGTATTCAAGCTGACATCTTTATTGCAAATGTTTCTCAATCGTTCTTTCTACAGATTTTGTCTCTACTTTTCGGAAGGAATGGAGGCTTTCCGTTTCGCATTTCTTCATTGTGACCCGAACAGCGCAAATCATTCAAGTAAGACCTGACAGTAAAGTGAGTGAAACGTAATAAAAAACAATCGATTTTAAAGATGTTGGCTTAAGGAGAATCGTTGGGCGATAAATTGTATTTAATTCTTGAAAATAACCATCCAGCCATCATTTCTTGTTTGGCAGTTTTTATTACCAAGGAGGATTTCTTCCCTATTTCCTTCAATAGAATATACTGCTGTTAATACCACTCGACTACTACTGCTACAACTACTGCTAGTGATCCTATTGCTATTGATGCTACTACTACTGATGCTACTACTATTGATACTAATTATAATAATTAGTAGAAAATGACCTTCAAAGAATATTATGCCATTGAAGCAACGAAGAAACGACATTATTGTTATAGATAAGGAGAATAGAAAGTGTCAAATTATTTATGGCTTGTCTTGGGTTGAAAAGATTTTTTTAAATCCAAAATATAATACAGATTTAAATAATTCACAAAGGGTTGACAAACCATAAAAAATCAATCAATCCGCTTCTCTTGGTGACCTCTGAACATCTAGAACCTTTTTTTTTACTGACAGACCCATGAATTTCAAATATGTTATCATTAGTTTATTAAAATCATCTGAAGTGGCAGGACGAACTTCTAGTTCATTGAATAAAGTTACTTACAAAGTATTAAAAATAAATACATTCTTTAAATAAATAAATAAATAATAATAATAATAATAATAATAACAATAATAATCCTCCATTGGAAAGTATGCTATAAGTTTGGCTTCAGTGTAAAAAAAAGAAATGGTGTGAATATCAGCCAGAGGTAGTGGTAGAGTCATAAGGTATTCTGGGATATCTCAAGGGCGGCCAGATCATGTCATTGAAGTATGAAAACCCGGCATTATTGTTATAGATAAAGAGAATTAGAAAGTGTCAGATTATTGACTTTACTGTTCCATTAGGATACAAGAGCGGACTTTGAAGAAACTGAAAAGATTAAAAAAAATACCAGGATCTGGCTCGGGAGCTGAAGAAACTATGGAAAATGTAGAACTAATTCTTGTAGTAATGGGTGCACTTGGAAAACCATTCTTAGGGAGAATTGGAATTGAGACCAAGTTTGTAGACCTCTAGAAAACTGCTATTCTTTAATCTTCAAGGATTCTTCAAAAAAGTTTTTGAGTTGTGAGCAGTCTGGTTGATGCCATGCCTCAAGAAAAAAATTGATTTCGTCAATGTATGACATGAACATAATAATAATAAAGGGAACACCAAAGACATAGTTGTCCAAAACGCAAGTTAAAATGAATGGCAAATAATTGACTTCAATATAAGAACACAGACAATTGAAAAGATGAGCAACTTGAAAAGGTGCTTAGGGAGAATTAGAATTGAGACTAAGATTAGGCCTCTAGAAAACAGCTATGATTTACTACACGAAGATTCTTCAGAAAATTCTTCATATCGGAACAGTTTTGTTGAAAAACATTCCTAAAGAAGCCAATTTCAATTTATTACGTCAATATGCGACATCCCCAGATCTGAAGGAGGCATAGGATTAGTTCAACTAGAACTGTCCTACAAAACTACAACAATTGGCCTCCAAAGATATTTGGAAACTACAGAAGACTGGATGATGGTATCCGTCAAGGAACATGAAAGTAGTAAGCGTCTCTACTCCGTAATAAAGGAAGTCAACAAATTCAAAATGGAGTTCCAAATGGGCGTAGAGATGCAACTACAGCACAATACACCGGCTGAAACTGCAAAATACCTAAAAAAGATAGCTAAGACGAATGCAACCGACCAGTTACAGAAGCGATGGCAAGATAAACCGCTTCATGGCTAATACTCTGCCCGTACCAAACAAGCTGACGTAGACAAAACCCGTACCCATCACTGGCTACGTAGTGCAGGATTGAAAGCGGAAACTGAAGGTTTTATCCTTGCTGCACAGGACCAATGCTTGCTAACTAGGAATTATCAAGCACATATACTAAAATATTGTGTCAGCCCAAAATGCAGATTCTGTGATAAATATCCAGAAACGATTGATCATCTTGTATCAGGTTGCACGTTGTTGGCACCCACTGAATATAAAACCCGACATGACAGAGTGGGCCAATATCTGCACTGGAAAATCTGCAACTTCTACGGGAAGATAATGATGATAATAATAATAGTAATAATACAAGCACAGCTCACACTTTACGAACAGCTTTATCTATGTATAATATGTGTAATCTTTTTTTTCTTTTCTTTTTTTTTTCAAAAATGATACGTGGAAAATATTATGAAGCCATTTCTGACTTAAGTCTCTGGTTGTATCCGGTAGGAAATATTTATAAAGCAGAAATGAAAGAAAATAATAATAATAATAATAATAAGGCCCTGATTCTAAACTAAGTGTGGCTCTTATCAGTCAGTTATATGCCATGCGTAATACATACTTTGACGATCATGTATCTTTTGATACATGACTGACAAAGCAGATTTTTCCTGCAGTTGGTTGCCATTTCTTTCTGCCCTAAACCAGTCAAGGCTATAGAACCCTGTCTCTCCTGCTATCTACCCATAACTTGGGAGGGAGAAGAAGAGGATCCATGTCTTACCCAAGGTATAGCACGTTAGTGAATGACTCTTATGGATTGATGTTATATATTGGTGAATTATAATAGAAGGCAGTAAGTATCCACTCGACTACCACAGATTTGCTTATCAGTTGCCTGACAGTAACCATTTTGGATATAAATCCCCAGCGGTAGATGCACTGCGCTTTTTATTCATGACCTGGGTTAGTGAGGGGGCATAGTGGCTGGGTGTTTATTTAAAGTTTAATGGATGAGGCAGTCAAGTCGACTTAAAAACCACATCTAAATACTTGGAAACAAACAATCAGGGATCGCGCCTGAGCAGATTGGTAGGCACAATTTAAAGGTATTTCTATGTTGGCCCCACCTGCAAGTTTATTGGCTGCCATTACCAAAAGCTGTCACTATATGACGTACATTTGGCAGAGGTGTATATGTTTAGTATGCTCTTATCATGATTGTTACATTGGGCATCGTATAATTGTACCCTAGCGTCAATAGCAATAAAGATGAAGGGAAAATGCAAATTATATGAGATTAAAGATGAGAAAACCATGCGCAAATCTAGAAAAAATAGCCCAGAAGGAATTGACATGAATGGGTGGGAAACACTAGGAACTTTGCAAGCAGCAGTACTTAAAGTTCAATGGTATATCCACAGGCTAGAATAGTCCTTAGAGAATGAAACTTATAAAATCTGGAATCTTCAGATTCAAACGGATCATCCAAGATATAATTACCGGATTTGGTAGTTGTAAAAATGCGACTAAATGTATTTTGTTTTTTCCTGTACTTGACAAATGACGAACTCATTAGCCGTCAGATTAAATTGCAACCAGGGCTTAATTTTTTTTTCTTGAGACCATATTGAAATAAGGGTATACTGCAGACATTATGGAATGCCTTGTTTATTCTGTTGGCATCGATGCTTTTTAAAAATGAAGTGTCGCTTTTTTATTTTCTTGTTAATTTTATAGGAAGTTAAAATGTTCATATTTGATGTTGAAAATCTTTCTCCACTATGAAAATTGACGCAATATAATCATCGCTGATCTGGGTAGTAGTTACTATCTATCTATCTATCTATCTATCTATCTATCTATCTATCTATCTATCTCAGTTTGTTCATTATCTATCTATCTATCTATCTATCGATCGATCTATCTCTTTATGTTAGTCTATTCATATATATCTATTTAATTCTCAGTCTATCTCATTCTGTTCATATCTATCTATCTACCTATCTATCTATCTATCTATCTATCTATTTCTCAGTATATTCATATCTATCTATCTATCTATCTTTCTATCTATCTATCTATCTCGGACTTTTCATTATCTACCCATTTTTTCTCAGTTTCTTCATATCTATCTATCTTTTTCTCTGTATATTCATATACCCTATCTATGTATCTATCTATCTATCTATCTATCTATCTATATATCTATCTATCTATCTCAGTTTGTTCATTGTCTATCTATCTATCTATCTATCTATCTATCTATCTATCTATCTATCTATCGATCTGTCTATCTCTTTATGTTAGTCTATTCATATATATCTATTTAATTCTAAGTCTATCTCATTCTGTTCATATCTATCTATCTATCTATCTATTTCTCAGTATATTCATATCTATCTATCTATTTATCTATCTATCTATCTCGGACTTTTCATTATCTACCCATTTTTTCTCAGTTTCTTCATATCTATCTATCTTTTTCTCTGTATATTCATATACCCTATCTATCTATCTATCTATCTATCTATCTATCTATCTATCTATCAGTATATTCATATATATCTATCTCGGACTTTTCATTATCTACCCATCTTTTTCTCATTTTCTTCATATCTATCTATCTGTCTATCTATCTATCTATCTATCTATCTATCTCTATCTATCTCTTCCTCCGTCTATTCATATCTACCTACCTATCTATCTATATATCTATATTAATATATATATATATATATATATATATATATATATATATATATATATATATATATATATATTTGAATAAAGAAAGTCATATAGCGCTTGTCAGTTACGCAACAAACTTGCATGCAAACATGGCCGCCGCCTCTATGAGCCGGTTGATTATCTTTCATTAACTTTACAAAACAGCCGCCATGTACATGGCTCACGGAATCGTGAAGAATTTACGCATGACGCTCAAAGCTGTAAAGAATTGCAACATTTACCGTTTTGGCATGCAACGTGTCTTTAGCAAATGCAATAATTATGCGTCACTTCCATGGATTCCAGTTTACGGCTCACCGAAAAATCTAAGAATCGCTCTGACGCTTGAGATAATGTGAGAAGGCCTAGTATTAGGAACGGCCCGTCTTTATAGGCGTAGGTCGTCAGGTCGTATCACAAGTGGACATCCTTCAGACGCTGGGTAATATTTGTTTCCATCGGAAATTATGAAAGAACTTTTCTTGAAAATCTGATTATAGTAGACGAACGTTTCGCGGAATTTCTTGATAATTTATATTCCAGGTTTCCATGAAAAGGATTCTTTTCTCTCTGTTTCATATCATCAGGTTTTTATCACCAAAAATCTTTCTCTTGCAGTTAAATCGGCTGTGTCACAAGCCAGTCGTGTGTTTAATATAATACGTCCTTTTTCATCTTTAATAACAAACCCTAAGACGATTAGGGCTTTATGCCATCTGTAATAAAGACCATTGAACTGTGTCTAAGTTGGACAATTTTTACAGCTGTGATCACAAAAGACAAAAAAAAAGGTTGGTATAGGCTCATCTGATAACGACGTTGCTTCAACCTGATAACTTAAAATCTTAAGATTAATCGCTATATCTAGGTTAAAATATTTTTAGAAATGTTTTTAGAGATAATGATAGGCTAAATATTATTGTTGAATATACAGAGTGTTCCCCGCTCCCCTGAAAAGAAAATTTACATCATTTTGCAGTCTAATAACATAACCAATACTTGCTCAAATGATCTCAAATTTTAACAAGAATTCTAAAAACTAAATTGACTGCGTGAACATATCTCAATGAGAAACTACGAAGAAATTGGATCAGGCGTGTCAGTGATAATAAGAGTAGGATGCTGAAATGGCCACCACGTTCACCTGACATGGCAGATCGTGATATTGTTCTATGGGGTTATGTGAAAGGACATGTCTATATCCCCCTTTTCCTACAAGCCTAGAAGAACTTAAGCAGAGAATTACTGAAGCGCTGGAGAATGTTACGCAAGACATGCTACAGCGTGTTTGGTAAGAGCTGGATTACCGACTAACTTTAGTGAAACGTTGTGAAATCGGTTAAAAAATCTACACCTTTTTGAATATTTTCGAAATCTCGATAAATAAATCTCTTATTGTTCAAAATGAAACCTATTAAATTTCGTTTGCCTGGGGCATGTAGTTACTCAGATATTCTCATTTTGAATGATGTCAGCTTTGTTTTTTGTTTGTTTTTGTTTTTTTTGTGGGGAGGGGACACACTTTAATAAGTTTTTGAAAGAAGCCCTAACGTTCTCGTCTTATTAATAATTAATCTGCTAAAAACGATAATTATACGTAGCTTATAGTTGTAGCCTTCATTCATTTAATGAGACTAGAATATTTGAATAAATCCGAGGAAACTTAAAACTAGCTTAACGTCAGAATTAGTATCAGTAAGGAGAATTGGTGTCTCGTAGTCGCTTGGAACAGCCACCAGAAAATTTTAACAAAATCTGTAAAAACTAAGTTGACTGTGTGAATGAGAATCTGCCAGGAAGTAGGATCAGGTGCGCCAGTGATATAACAGTGTGCTTTTGAATTTGGCCGTCACATTCCCCTGACATCGCACATGGTGATTTTTATGGAGCTACGAGAAAGGACATGTCTATATCCCCTTTTTCCTACAAGCCTAGAGGAACTTTAGCAGTGAATGACTGAGGTGCTGGAGAATGTTACGCAAAACATGCTAAGCGTGTTTGACAGGAGCTGGACAACCGATTGGCACGTGACGTGACAGAGGTGGTGAGCATATTGAACATTTGTAAAGCTTTGTGAAATCGAATTTGATAAATAAATCTTTTATTGTTTAACATGAAATTTATATAATTTTGTTTTGAGACATGTTGTTACTCAGATATTCTCATTTTCAATAATGCCATTTTTTTCTGCTGGGGGGGAACTGTAATAGGTCTTTGACAGATGAGGACAACAGTCTAAACAATGTAAATAGTTACAATACCTCATCTGAGAAATAGAGACAGATGTTGAAGGTGAATATGGCAATAAAGATGAGGACAACAGTCCAAACAATGTAAATAGTGTAAATAGTTACAATACCTCATCTGAGAAATAGAGACAGATGTTGAAGGTGAATATGGCAATAAAGATGAGGGACAACAGTCCAAACAATGTAAATAGTGTAAATAGTTACAATACCTCATCTGAGAAATAGAGACAGATGTTGAAGGTGAATATGGCAATAAAGATGAGGACAACAGTCCAAACAATGTAAATAGTGTAAATAGTTACAATATCTCATCTGAGAAATAGAGACAGATGTTGAAGGTGAATATGGCAATAAAGATGAGGACAACAGTCCAAACAATGTAAATAGTGTAAATAGTTACAATACCTCATCTGAGAAATAGAGACAGATATTGAAGGTGAATATGGCAATAAAGATGAGGACAACAGTCCAAACAATGTAAATAGTGTAAATAGTTACAATACCTCATCTGAGAAATAGAGACAGATGTTGAAGGTGAATATGGCAATAAAGATGAGGACAACAGTCCAAACAATGTAAATAGTGTAAATAGTTACAATAACTCATCTTAGAAATAGAGACAGATGTTGAAGGTGAATATGGCAATAAAGATGAGGACAACAGTCCAAACAATGTAAATAGTGTAAATAGTTTCAATACCTCATCTGAGAAATATAGAGAGATGTTGAAGGTGAATATGGCAATAAAGATGAGGACAACAGTCCAAACAATGTAAATAGTGTAAATAGTTACAATACCTCATCTGAGAAATAGAGACAGATATTGAAGGTGAATATGGCAATAAAGATGAGGACAACAGTCCAAACAATGTAAATAGTGTAAATAGTTACAACACCTCATCTTAGAAATAGAGACAGATGTTGAAGGTGAATATGGCAATAAAGATGAGGACAACAGTCCAAACAATGTAAATAGTGTAAATAGTTACAATACCTCATCTGAGAAATAGAGACCGATATTGAAGGTGAATATGGCAATAAAGATGAGGACAACAGTCCAAACAATGTAAATAGTGTAGTTACAATACCTCATCTGAGAAATAGAGACAGATATTGAAGGTGAATATGGCAATAAAGATGAGGACAACAGTCCAAACAATGTAAATAGTGTAAATAGTTACAATACCTCATCTGAGAAATAGAGACAGATGTTGAAGGTGAATATGGCAATAAAGATGAGGACAACAGTCCAAACAATGTAAATAGTGTAAATAGTTACAATACCTCATCTGAGAAATAGAGACAGATGTTGAAGGTGAATATGGCAATAAAGATGAGGACAACAGTCCAAACAATGTAAATAGTGTAAATAGTTACAATACCTCATCTGAGAAATAGAGACAGATATTGAAGGTGAATATGGTAATAAAGATGAGGACAACAGTCCAAACAATGTAAATAGTGTAAATAGTTACAACACCTCATCTTAGAAATAGAGACAGATGTTGAAGGTGAATATGGCAATAAAGATGAGGACAACAGTCCAAACAATGTAAATAGTGTAAATAGTTACAATACCTCATCTGAGAAATAGAGACCGATATTGAAGGTGAATATGGCAATAAAGATGAGGGACAACAGTCCAAACAATGTAAATAGTGTAGTTACAATACCTCATCTGAGAAATAGAGACAGATATTGAAGGTGAATATGGCAATAAAGATGAGGACAACAGTCCAAACAATGTAAATAGTGTAAATAGTTACAATACCTCATCTGAGAAATAGAGACAGATGTTGAAGGTGAATATGGCAATAAAGATGAGGACAACAGTCCAAACAATGTAAATAGTGTAAATAGTTACAATACCTCATCTGAGAAATAGAGACAGATGTTGAAGGTGAATATGGCAATAAAGATGAGGACAACAGTCCAAATAATGTAAATAGTGTAAATAGTTACAATACCTCATCTGAGAAATAGAGACAGATGTTGAAGGTGAATATGGCAATAAAGATGAGTACAACAATCCTAACAATGTAAATAGTGTCAATAGATTCAATACATCGGCTCAGAAATAGAGACAAATACAGCCAGGGAAAATGAATTTGAATCTTTGCCAGTCATTTATGTTAAAGTCTTGTTACTGGCACATCATAATAATAAAAAATGATTGAGTAAATGCTTTTAAAATCACAAAAACTGGCTGATAATGATATATGGAAGACACTTGTTAAACTCGTTTTGACCCAAACCTGATTTGCCGCTTTAAAGGGATGAAAAATCCGACAGATGAATAAATTCTTTTATTGTACGCATGCGCTGTCACGGCAAAACAAACACAAAGAAATGAAAAGTAATTGTTAGATCAGAAAAACAAATAAAAAACGAAAAACAAACGATAAATGATTGATCCTGACTGATTGTAAATGTTAATGTGGTGACTTTGTACTCGGGACCCTTACAGCGAGGGACTTGCCCGGGAAGCAATTACTGGGGTCAGGTTAGTAAAATTGAAAAGTGGTCTCAACGGTTTTGAACAATAAATATCGCCTCCCATAGATTTTTCCGGGCGGAACTTTGAGTCGCGTTTTTGATAATGTCTGCTCTCCATGGAATAACATGTTCGGAATTTAAGAGAATAATCTTTAGGTCAAGGTTTTTATTCTGAGATGCAAAAACCGGAGCAACACTTCTTTACTCATCAATCTACACAACACTGCGTTACTTAGAACGATTACTTTGC